AGACCTCGCGCATGGCAGGACCCATCCTGGAGACAAGTGGGAGAATTGGGCCGCTTGGTGGCAGCTGTTAGAAGCTTCTTGCTTCTGGGGGCCGTGTGAGCTGCTGCCTTCGGAACTCGCCACGCATCTACACAGGGTGGCCAAAAGTCTGTCATGTAAGTCTGTCATGTCAGATCACCGGACCAAAGGAAACTAACTACAGCTTGACGAGTCGCAACCTTTCCGAGGTGCAATTTTAGCCACTTTCCGCCAAGCTCCACAAGTTTCCGAGCAATTTTTTCCACAAGTTCAACTTTCCAGAACTTGATCTCTCCCGAGGTGGCCATCGACGACAGGGAGTTGCTGACGGAGCAGAATGGGCGCTTCCTGCGTGGCCATTTCGCCCCTCAGCAGATCCCTCTAAGAGCCATTTTTGACTTGAAAGATGATACATACCTCTGGCCAAAGTCGCTGACCATTTCAGCAGGTGCAGACCCATCCGCTGCGGGGGCTGACGACCGAAGCTGCCGATGCCGCGCGGCTGCAGATTTGGAGACTCGAAGCTCATCGAATCATCGAAGTCTGATCAGACGACGGCACAAGATCTAAACAGTGTGGAGGGTTGTGAACCTGGTTTCGGTTTTGCTTGGGCTTGAAGACTAGGGGATTTTGGTCCCCTTTTTCCTGACTGAGAATTCGGTTGCATCATGGCCTTTCGCACTATCCATTATGGTCCGTGGCCTCAGCATCTCTTCGGATTCTGTGCCCTATGAGCCCTGGACCCTGCACGTGCTCCAACTGGCCTTCATATCCTCAAAGATGCCAGGCCTGCATCGCGCTCCTCCGGCAAGAGATCACCAAGGCTGACGCAGGCATCTGGCCTCTTTCGCACTTTCGCATGTCTCCTGTCAGGAAAGACGAGCCTCTTATGTTCGGTACATGTTGGTACATGGCTTGGCAGTTGGATTAATTGTAAATGAGGGCTTTCAAGACACACCGGCGCCAGCCTTTCTACCTCTTCTCAAAAACTCGCCACTTCGTATTAAATTATGTACTTCGATCGTCCCCATCTTAGAACTAACGAATTGACTCAAGCACAAGTCGATGCAGAGCGGGAGGCTGGATTCTCTGAGGCATTCTCTGGGTTGGGAGTGGGCACTCCAGGGATACTCGGCGGGACATTGGGCCAGGAGAGCGGGACAGGGCCGGGCACAATGGCCTGCTGCCAGAGAAGCATTGACATGGATGAGGGCTGCGAATCAACACCGGGTCTCAGCGCTGAAGTCACTGAACGAGGCCGCCAAGATTGCAAGGAGGTGCCGGCCATTCGGAGAGACCGGGCACTTGAGGGAAGCAGGGCATGAACGAGGAAGCAGTGCATCACGGCAGCACTGCTGTAGCATCGCCGCAGCCACCGCCTGAAACTTGCCAGCAAAGCACCCAGACGGGTCAGCTTTTGCTATTCATACCCGTTCACTCCAGCATTGAAAATGCATGGCTTTCTGGAAATGTGGCTTCCGCTACAAGTGTCACTGGTCGAGCTCAGAATGCAAATGCCTCCAACTCGTAAGGGCTGCGTGCGTACACTGACCCTCTATTTTTCTCTCTCTCTCTCTCTCTCTGTCTCCTCTCGCTCTCAGCCCTGTGCGGACAATTGTTCAGGAGCTGTGGGCCCGGTGAACCCGGGCGTTCCGCGGAGCAGCTCCTTCGAGGTCTTTTGAAAGCTTGGCGGTGTCTCCTGAACTTGACTTCAGCAGCTAGGCAAAGTGTTCTGAGCAGTGGTTTTTGCCAGGTCTCTTCCGCCAACCCTACTGGCCGTGCGGCCACAGCCGAGGAGGCTTGTCAGTGTAGACTCTCAGTGCCGCACTTTGCGAGTGTTGAATACCGCCCAACAGTGTATTGCAGGTGCCAAGTTAGTTCAGTTGGTGCTGAAGTGTCGGTGCGGTCAGGATACGCCATTGCGCCCCAAACCTCAGCAGCAGGCCATGCCTGGGAGCAGCCTTTAGAGTCGATACAAAAACAGTACCACGTGTGAGAGTGAGAGTTTCGGAAGAGTCGAGGATCTTGGTTCCCCACGCTTTCGGGCCTTGCCGAAAAGAGCCCAAGAGAACCCCAAGAGAAGCCAAGAACGGCCTCCACATGTCATGAGTTCGCACATGCATTTTTGTTTGAATATCTGTATATAGACATTTTAGGGTTTAGGGTTTAGGGACTAGGGAGGGTT